GATAATGATTGTACAACTCTTTAGAATTTTTTACAACTTTTAGTTAGTAAATCTGGTTTTGTGTATATTTTCAAATCTTTTTCATGTAGTCTCTTAAAAATAAACATAAATGCGCAAGTCCAGCTTGTTCAGTTTCTCAGTAGTATTCCAGCCTCTCTTGATATCTTGTCAAATAGTCGTCTTAAAAATAATCTTCCTGCTGGAACTAGTTCTTTATAGATCATTTGTGATTAGGATATTGCCAGAGGAAGAAAGTGGGATGCTCTATGTTCTTTCTTTGTTTTTTTACCTTTCATGGGGACCCCTTTGTGGTTTAATGTAACAAACATCTCCTTTCCTTTGTGTGTCCATTTTGCAGAAGCATATGTATTATAATGGTTTTCTTCATTCAGTTCTATGAAGTTGCAGTCCTCATTGCATACTTTCTGTTGAGAGTAAATAATAAAATAGAGTAAAAGAAGTACGAGTGTTTTTTTAAATACTTAGGTTAGGGAAGATGGGAGAAGAATATGCGTTATAACCCCCCCATATTATTAATAGTTTTGATAATTAAATTGGACTTCTGAAATCTGAGTATTGAATATTTTAGCTTTGTCTATTCCTCCTCAGTATTCCACATTTTTAAAAAGTATATAAGCTCTAATCACTGAATTTATTAAATGGACGTAAAAGTCTAATATGGGATGTATGGGATAAGTACAGGATACATTTTAATTTGTCAGGAATCTAGTTATTAATAGTTTTGATAATTAAATTGGACTTCTGAAATCTGAGTATTGAATATTTTAGCTTTGTCTATTCCTCCTCAGTATTCCACATTTTTAAAAAGTATATAAGCTCTAATCACTGAATTTATTAAATGGACGTAAAAGTCTAATATGGGATGTATGGGATAAGTACAGGATACATTTTAATTTGTTAGGAATCTATTTTATACAAACTATACAGATGCGACATCTAAAAATATGTGTCTTTAAGATTGTACGTGATGACTGTACACACAAGAGAAGTTTGCATCCATACCTTTCCATAGAGTCTTCCTGACTTGTTCATTGCCAGAAAGTATTCACTTTCCACTCCTTTGATTGCCACTATTCCAACTGCCACTGTTCGGATTTCTAGAATACCTGCAAAGGCACACAGTAAGGGCTGTAAAATGGTTGTTTGTTCTCCAGTCAGCTTAGAAGGTTTAGTTGAACTAATATTCTGTAATACTTCTGTGTTTATTGAAAATCTGCAGCGATCGTTCTTAGAAAACAGAAAAATTACGTATTTATTCATGTGGACAAAGGGCTAGACTTTAAAAATCGTCTGTGTGTGACCATGTCTGCACACAGCCACTTAAGAAATTGTATGGTGATAATTTTTAAGTATATACTGAAGTTGCGATGTTAGTATAAGTAATTTTTCTATTTTCAGAGAATCAGCGTATCTTAGAATTTATCAGGCTCAGGGTTTCATTTGGAAGAATTATATACATAGCCATCAAGGTTCACAGAATTTGTGTAAAGCCTTTATTTTGAAGACTTGTGTAGCAGTATCATCTCCTTGAAAGAGTATAAACCTTAGAACTTGTGAGTGATAGAAAACAGACCACAGTGTCTTAAAAAAGATAAAGTATTTGCTTGACCTTTGTATGCTTTTATGACTGATTGGAGCTGTAAAGATACGTGTATTTGAAAATCATTAAAAGCTGCTCTGAGAACTTATTTATTCAAAACCAGAAAACATTTAGAGTTGCTTTCTATAAATTATTTTATTTTCATCTCTCTGATGTGTATCTGCAGTAGCTTTCTGTAGTCACTATGATACATTTAAGTTACCTGCAACATAAAAAAATATTCTTATGTTAATAAAAAACCCCAACAACTGAGCAAAGGCAGGAGGATGGTGCAAGTTATTAAGGAACATCAGGTTGTTTTCAAGCTTAAATATTATTGTTGTCGTTTTAAGCAATAGTTTAGAGTTATACTTCTGAGTTTGCGCCGTTTTCTTCCCTATTGAGTCACCTACAGAACTGTGTGCAGTAGCATCTGTACTGTGACTTGTTCTCCAGAATGGGGTCTTTCAAAGCCAGCCCACTCTAGGCAAATTCCAATAGCTAAGCGTGGGGGAGACAAGTGAGGGAGGGGGAGAGAGGCTTTTGTTAGATTGTCACCTGAATGATGACCTTCCTCTTGAACAAAACATTTCCTTTTTTTCTCTTTCAGGTCTCTATTGACTCTTCACAGCCACCACACATTATAATAATTTTAGACATTGAATATCTACGATATTTCTCCTTCCCTATACTTTTATAATATCCTGATGTCCCTTGCTTTCTTTACTGTTCTGTTTTGCTTTCTTCCTTGATATTACTGATGTATCGGTCCTAGCCTGTATTGCTTACTTTTTTCTTACTATTTTCCCTACCAGTAGATCAGTTACCTGCTGGGTATCCATCTCTGAGCACTTATACTTCTGTACTTCTCTATAATGCTAAGCCAATTCCAAGTAAAGCTTTTAGAATTCTTTGACAAGTTCCACTCTGCTGCAGGCCTAGCAACAATTCTTACAAAGGGTAATTTCTAACTGAAACTTACAAAAATTCTATTAACTTTCATTTAAATTTCACTTTAGAAAAACCACAGTGAGGCTGAAAAACAGATGAACATCTGCATCTAGCCAAACAAAGAACATAACAGTGGAAGGGATCTCTGGGTCATCAAGTCCAGTGCTCTGCTAGCCTGGGAATTGCATCAGATAATTCTCTTTTCATAAACTTTGCCAATACTAAATTGGAGTTGTTATTTCTTTGCCCCCAGCGTTTCCGCCGAAGGCTGTTCCAGAGTTTGATTTATTTTAATGGCTAGGGACCCTGTAGTAATTTGCAATCTGCATTTTTTCAGCGACAGCTTATATCCATTTGTTCTTTTGCCTGTGCTGGCCATTAACTTAAGGAGAGGGTTTTTTTTAAATCTATGCTTGAGTTTTCTATTTATACAGAATTAAGATGAAAAATGACTTTTTAAAATAAGTGATGCTAATAGGAATTGAGATTTCCTTGAGTAAGCTGATGTTGGCTGAAGTTACAGTAGTAAGAAATACTACTACTTTTAGAAAGGAAATGCCAAAAGCTTTTGTCCAAGGCAATATTATTATTAGAATTTTTACATTATTTTTTAGCTTTTTTTTTTTCCCTGAAGTAGATGGTGACATTCATACTAACTTGTAGGAATTATTTTATTTTGGTTTTGGGTACTTGTTTTTCTACTTTATTCTCAGTTGAGACATAAATGTGTTTCATGTGGAAACTTTACACTATCCACATAGAATTTGGTATATTTGGTATATAGAAATTTGGGATGTAAAAATACTTTATAAGCCTCCTATATAGGAAATCTGAATGGCAAAATAAAATGTTGTCTATCAAAGTTATAGTCTACTTATAATTTACAAGGGCACTACGTGCGATAGATTTATTGTATTTGTATCTTTACATGGTTTTTAATTTTATTTGTTAACATCCCATTGTGCATAAAAAGCAATGCATTTTAATTAAAGACAGATAATTTGAGATTCATAAATTGTTACGCCTATTCAGTACAATTTGCTATATTATTATGTGCTTTTCACAATTTTAAGCAATTACGTACCCCCAGAATTAGGGCTAGCTCTCACATAAATAACATTTGACACCCTGACTCAGAGGTGATATGAAATCCAAAGAATGTTTTAGGTCTTTGAATGGCACTTTTCTAAAGATACTCTGTCTGTGCATCTCTCCATAAAGCCTAGTGAGGGAATACCACATGAACTCTTCAATAACTATGTCACATGAAAAATGTTGTACTATTAGCAGTGTTAAAGAGCGAAAAAAAAAAGACCACAGAGAGTTCAGTGGAAGTAGAGCTTGTGTATTCTTGATTCTTTGCTCAGAACATGTCTGTCTCAGAATTAAATGGCCTATCATAAACTGCATGTGCTCGTTTTTCTGTTCCCAGTTCTAGATCATGTCTCATCTGTTCTGATGTGTGTTAACATATCCCCGAAGGAGAAACAAAGCATAATTTTTTCCCTTTTCTGCACAGCATTTATGTGATTTAGGTCTCTGAGGCAGCATCACACATGCACTTTTGTATTTGATGTGCAAGTGATTAATCACTGAGTTCCTCTCTCTGTTTTAAGGCATATGGCACAAGTTCCTTAAGCAATAAGACAGCATACTGTAGGCTCCCTTTTCTTCTTCTGGAAGCTGTGCCTCAGTAATTCTTCTGTTCATTTCAGAAATGTAGTATTGCTGCAATTCATTGCATATTTTTTTCTTTAAATTAAATAAATTATATAGCAAATGGAAACACAATTTTTAGCAAACTGGGAAAAGTAAGACTTTACTGTGTAGTTAGAACTGTGATAGCTGATTTTAGCTGAGAATTTGATTTATGATCTTTCAGTATATAGTCTTTTGTATGGAACTCACTTGTTAATTACAAAATGTCATTTACATACATGAATTTAAAATTTCTTCCCTTATGTACAGAAACTATGGAGACTGTTAAGGTTGAGAAGTCATACACTGAAAGTTTATTAGTTTATCAGTGTCAGCACTGCAGTTGTATCACATGCTTAAATTTAGTATCCAATATCAGAGGTCTCTCACAGACCCGGAAGAATGATTTCTGAATAATATTCAATTTAATACAGACAGAGATTTCAGTATTTCAACTGTTTTACAAGGTGCTTCTGAACATACAAGATTTAAAAGGTGACCAGCTTTTTCCTGCACACCTATTATGCACTGCATAATTCTCAAAGCACGAGTTCTTTGATGAACTAGTTAATGGAATCTTTAACACTTATAAACAACATTATTTCACTGTGAAAACATCTAAACTACTTTTCTATATTTTTAATACTCAGCTTGATATATAAACACTCAACACAAACTTGGAGGTTAGAGAGATGTGGATAATGGAAATCACTGTCTTTTCCAATTATAATTTTATAACATATTTAAATATAAAAATGAGCTTTTATATTACATCATAATTACAGCACCAAAGCAGGAAATACCTAAAGGATATACCAAAGAATGAAATCATAAATCCATAAAATAGAGAAATTAAGTTGTATTTTCCCCTCTTTGTTTAATTTCCTTTCAGTATCTCTATTAAGTCAAGATATCACATTATATTACACTATATGCCATTATAGTTATATTGGTCTGTCTTTATTTTGTATGTGTTCCTGGTAGTCAATCACTGTAAGAGAAATTACGTGATGATAAATAGTCACTAGGATGCGTTATTGCGGATAAGAACCTCATCCATCGGTAGGTGTCAAGAGGTAATAAAACTGTTCAGCCAGAATTTTGGCCAACTGCAGATATTTCCTGTGTCTTCTATATTTTCTGTAATCATCTGCTACTGGCGATTCTTGCCAACAGGATGCTGCGCTAAATTAAATTTGGATCTGAGCTGATACGGTTGTCCTTATGCTCTTAGTGTATATGCTTTGTTATACAGTTGTGACTGTTACATTCAGCCAAGTCCGTGAATGTGGTCTTTTTCGTTAGTTAGGGTTTTTTTTAAAAAAAAAACACTCTTATTTTTTCTCTTCTCTTTCGTTTCGAAATTCTGCATCATTGCAATGTCTTTAATAAGACTAGCCAGGAACAACATTTGGTGTACTGGAAAGTAACCCAATAATCTCATTTTTCTATAAACGCAGGAATAGCTTTGCTTGTAAGTAATTGACAGTATTAAAATCAACAACAAAACAGTAATATACTCTAAAGGTTAGCTTTATAAGGATGGTAACCTGAGTTAAGCAAAACTCACCAAAGTAAAGAGTGTCTTTTCTAGTATACCACTTTTGACTGCCTTAAGACATGAACTGAATTAAAATGTATTAGTTTCATTGCTCCTCTACTGTGAACCTAAGTGTAGCTGAGCTTCAGTGTCCATGCTAGTTCTTGTTAGCTGATTCACCGGAAGGAGGTAAATCTCTATATCCACAGAAAAATGGTAATAGAAGTTAACCTACTATGCTGTGTTATGTTTGTAGGCCATTTTATACATAAAGGCAAAAATTCTGTCCTCATTAAAGTGGAGGACACTTTAGTAAGTGTCTAGTAAGACTATAGTAA